TTTTCTTTTTTTACACTTTTCAAAGCTGTATCTGCCAATTACTCCTCCCCCCATTAAAATGATTATGAAAAAATGAGGATACGATGGACAAAACTTAAGGCAGAAGAGATAGAGCTTTGAGCACCATAAATCATAAAATGTTGGTGACAGGACTTCACTATTGCTAGGAGTGAGTCAAGATCTGGTCCTCAGCTTTCTGGATGATGCCGCTGATGCTCTCTGCTGTTCATCATGACAACTTCTCTGTCTGTTTGGGAGAACTCCACCCATTCTAATACCCAACCTACAGAATAGTTTTTGCTCTGGCTCCTCTTAAAGACGACCTTTAGTTGACTACAGCACTTTACAGAGCTGTTTCTTCAAAGTTGTGTGAGTGTGGAAAGCTCAGTGCAAACACTGGGGTGTGGAGTACCATGACTCAAGGTTTAAATACCTGGCTCACAGAACAGAGTGCCAGCAGTGTTTAAAAAGCAGGCAGCTGATGAAGGGGTGGAGAGAAGACACACCTCACAAATGCAAGGAGTAAAGGCAGAAGAGGCCATCAGGCTTAGACCTCAGGCAGCCAAGGAGAGAACGCATTTGCCTCCCTCAGTGACCTTTCTCCAGGTCACTAATTTCTCTACCAAGGAAACTATCTGCACACTACTGTTGGAATGCAGACAGAGGCCAACCGAGATGAAGCCTTTTCCTATGCCACCATACGAGGTACCCAAGATGTATCCCAGAGGTGCAAGCATCTGACCAGCACTATTCTACACGCCACAGGGGGAAATTCAGTCAAGACTTCTGGGTTGGGGCTTAGTCCTCAGAACACTTGCTTCTTGATCAAACGGATAGAAGCTGTTACCCCAGCCCCACCAACAGCACCTGCCAGAATGTGTCAACAGGGTCACTCTCTGTGAATGGTATGTTAAATTATGTCCTATTATTAATTTGTCTTTGTGTAAGTTTAAACAAAATAAGTGGCTGTAAATACAGCTTAGGGGTTAAGAGTGCTCACTGTTCTTCCAGAGGACCTGGGTTCGATTCCCTGCACCCACATGGCAGCTCACAACTGCTTGGAACTCCTGTTCCAGGGGATTCAATGCCCTTTTTCTGGCTTTTGCAGGTATCAGGCATGCACTTGATACATAGACATATTGGCAGGCCAAACAGCCATGTGCATAAAATAAAATTTAAAATTATAAAAAGAACCAATGATACCAAGTAAATAGGATTTAAAATAGAGTCTCCTAAATTATGCTCTTTGGTTAATTGCCTATTGGCTTATGGCCTGTATGTTAGCCCAAAACACCTACAGTAATTTTAGAGTTCTAATATTATACACTTAAAAAATGTTATGTGCGTTGGTATTCTGCCTCTATGTGTGTCTGTATGACGGTGTCAGATCTCCTGGAACTAGAGTTACAGATGGTTGTGAACTGCCATATGGGTGGTGGGAATTGAACCCAGGTCCTTTGGAAGGAGAGACAGTGTTCTTAATTGCTGAGCCATCTCTCTAGTCCCTGTACACTCTTGAATAGGCAACATTCCATAGATGAAGATACTAGAATGAAATATTGATGGACTTACCCTATTCTGTTAGGACATAAAAACCTAATCGAGTGGATAAAAACATCTTTTGAAGGGTGTGCTGGCTCTCTGTTCAAGGACATAGCTTTCTGACACAATCAACTCTAAAGGAGGAAAAATTCACTTTGACTTGACGTAAGAGACTCTAATCCATGTTCATTTGGCCTCGTTGTATTGACTGCACAGGATAGCATGGAGAAAGCCTGTGGTAGAGGAGGCCTGTTCCCAGCATGGTAGCCAAAAGAGCAAGAAGAGGAATCAGAGTCCTAATTTTCCTATCACAGGCACTCCCCAGTCATGGAACATCCTCCCACCAGCCTCCAGTGGTCCAATCATGGGCTTTGGGGAGACATTCAAGTTCCAAACTGTAACCAAAGGAATACTACAGCAGCCACCCACGAGGAGGCAACGCTCCACTGTCCTGAGACAGAATTCTTGATCATGAAATTTTCTGAAATAGACAGTACTCTGTTCAATGGTATGTTGCACCCCGGGGTAGGGGTACAAAGAAAACAAGCATGCCCAGAGATGACAAGGAGCTTTAGGATCGAGAAGACAAATCCCCTTGTTTCTGAAAGTGGGCAGCAGGCTTACACAGACTGAATGGCCTGGGCAACTTTATAGAGCTAAGAAGCGGCAGGACCAGGCCTGCTGGCACCCTGATATCCCTGGGCCCCAATACTAACAAAACTAGATAACATGCTAGCATCGAACAATCAGCAAATATTTAACCTCAGGCTTTCTAGTTAGTGCCTCATCAATGGATCTGATCTGCCAAGAATCAAACACAAACATCATGTAATTGCAGTCGATAGTAAGCGATATCAGTCTTTACAAGCACGGATTCCTACACACGAGGAAGGTGAGGACTCTTAGCATTTAACAGACAAACTGGTCTAGCACTAGTCTGAGGTCAAATCATCAACCACCACTATAACCATGGGCTCTCAAGAGAGAGCTCAGAAGGCAGAACTGCAGAGCACAACACTCCAGGGGCAGGCAAGAGGTGAAATAGTAGCATGTGGGTGGCAAGCAGGAAAGATGTGCTCATTAAATCCCACAGACAAAACCAATGCTTCAAGGTTAACATCTTGTAGGGGCTGAAACATCTGTATGCTTTGTTTCTGGAAGAAAAAAAAGGAAAAAAGAAACTCCATCCTTGAGTTTCTCAGCAAAATACTCTTGCCTTGAAAAAAATTGTTAAAACAGCTTGTGTTGGGGGTTTAAATGATGTTTTGGGAACACAAAATCCTGTCTGGGAGTATTTCAATCTAAGCAGCAGAAAACCCAGATTAGGAAAGGCATAACTAGGCAAGAGCTTCCTGTTTGGATACAACTCACCAGGCATGGTAATCGCTCAAAGCATTGTCCACGAGCTCCATCAGGAGCCTTGGGTCACCCTGACAACCACCTAGCCAGAGCTCTGGTGACAGAGATGCTGTCTCCAGACATGAGGATCATGGATTCCAGGCCAGGCCAAAGATAATGCAATATACTCGTTTGTTTTTGCTTCAGACAAGATGCGTTCTTTAATAAACAATTCTATTACATTAAACATATATCAACAAACTGTGGGTTTTTTTTTTTCCCTACACAGAAAACACTGGCAACTACACACTTACCATTTAAAGGATAAGAGCCATATATTTTTCAAAGTGATTAAATACACACTCATAATGTCAGAAAAGACTAATTTTACTTGCTTATTAAAGATGGACTTTGGACAAATCCTTGCAAGCTAGGATTTTATGAAAAAAAAAAAACAATTTTTTTTTCTTTCTAGCTGTTTTCATAGGCTTGGGTGGCAGGCATGTTTTTAGGGGAAAACATACAGCAACAATGCTTGTCTTTAGCTCCGGGGTGTCTCATACGAAAAGCAGTAAGATCTTAGAGCAATGTCCCTATGGTGGGGAAATCTGATTCACAGAAAACGGTTTAGCAGTCATAGCTGAAACGCTTAGGAGGCCTGGAGACTACAAAGCTGCACACAAAGATGCAGACCCTTAGGCTTGGCTTTAACTGGGGACGGGGTATTTTATCACATGAGCAGAACGATAGGAGCACCCCCACTTCTGAAGTTCTGCAGATTGTCTTTATGGCATGGGCAGCTTGCACTTAACATTAAATCCTTCAAACTTAAGGTTTCTTAAGATGCTTAATGAGCTACAACCACTGTTTCCCTGTTACTGGACATATTCAAGCCTCTGCTTTCACTTGAGACAGGCATATGGTGGTGTCACCCTATCTACCTTAGGGACAGTGCAGAGAAAGGGCTTAGAGCTGGTGTTGAGCTCCTGAGAAAGGGCAGCCAGTCTTGGAAGTCCTAAACCTTTGCTCCAGGTATTAAAATGGGAGTGACCAAGTAGTAGGTGGCTGTGGCTGAGGCTGTTTGGTTCCATTCTCAGCACTACAAAATTGTCAGACGAGCTTAATAACTAGCCCTGTTTAATTACCACTGTGTTTCTGTGACATGAAGCAAGGAAAGGAGTGAGTGGCTAGCGTTTGGAACGGCCTTGTTCTGAAAGGTAACCGGAGTTTGCCTTAGGTGTAGGTGTCAAAACGGACTTCTCCGCTTGCTCTCCAACGTTTAAGAGGAGCATTGTCCTTTTTTTAATGCATTGAAATATTTCTTTCATCAATATAAATTTGAAGCATTAAGATAATGCTTTGGGGCTGAATCCAAAGATTGTGGGGGTGGGGGGCTGGAGCACCAAAAGAAATAGGAAGTGAAAGTGAACCGGCTCCAGCTGCTGCTGCTGCTTTCTCAGTGAAAGATAATTAAGTATTTCCACCCAGCCTCTGCCTTTGGCAATCTGAAGCTAAGCCAGTATTGCGGGGTGGGGGGGTGGGGGAAAGAGGCACAGACTCAGCTCCCTTCCCAGCACCTCCCTCCCCACTCCCTCTTTTTTTTACCATTCTAGTTAACTCAGCACTTTCCCGCTCTTCCTAGGCCCCTTTGGTGCGCATCCACACTTCTTCCCTCCTCCCCGAGGCCACGACACAAATGGTGCCCGCCTAACCGCTACCCACCACAACGCCCTTCTGATTCACCGCTGCCTCGGGTTTACAAGTAACGCGAGGGCGTGAGAGGGAGGGGCTCCGGGTTTGGAGGCCAAGGGAGACACGGTCCTGGGCTAGCCCACCCAGACACCTCACGGGGCTCTCCCGGCCCCTCCTCCACCGCAGTGACCACAGAGCGCAGGACGCCGCGGTGGGGGCCCTTGGGGTCGGCGGGCTGCGCTCCCCGGATGTGCCCCGCGCGCTGGCCGCTCAGGCCCGGTTCCCCGCAGCCCCGGGACACGTCGTCCGCGGCCACCACCTGTCGGGGCCCGGAGCGGCACGCGGGGAGCTGCTCGGCTTTCGCTCCCGCCAAAGTTGCCCGACGCAAACTTTCCACCCCGGGCTCCCGAGTCCGCGCCGCGCCTTACCTGGGGTGTGGGTGGCAGCGGCCTCGGACACGCGCGGCCGCGGGCTCGGATCGTCGGCAGCAGCCGCGACGGTCCCAGACAGAGCATCTTCCCGGCCGGCCTAAGCTCTCGGCCTCAGCGACGCATCCTCCCGCCGCTCGAGCCCAGCCCGCTCCCGCTGTGGGTTCAGCCCGCCCCGCCGACGGGGGCGGAGACGGGAGGGTGTGTCCCAGCTTCCAGGACTCTGCTCGGTGCACACCCCGGCGCCTGGCTGGGTATTTTTCCTCCGACAAAATAAATAAATAAATAAATAAATAAATAAATAAATAAAATAAAATAAAATAAAATAAAATAAAATAAACTTTTTTTTTTTTTTTTAAGCAAACCGGTGATGGACTTCCCAGTCTTTTACGTTTCTGGTGCCTGGCTTCCCTCCCATATTTCTTGAAAAGCTGGGCTCATACCATGCAGCTGTTGATGTCGAGGACTCACAGAAGCCAGTAGTGAGGCACGCTTGGGACCTCAGATTTGATGGTCTGGAGTTCAAGGCCACCCGCCGCTAAAAAGGACTTCTGGTATCTGGCAGCAGAAAGATCCCTGGAAATTGCTCTCCTTCGCCCTGCTGGAAAGAGGGAGAAAAATGGGTTGCCAGGGCTCCACCTGTGGGTGGGCTCCCAGGCTTGAGATGAGCCACCTGAGGCCTCAGCCCATGGCAAGTCAGCCCGGGGAGCTAGATGCGCCGAGGTTTGTAGTTCATTCATTACAGGCTGGCCCAAATCCAGACACTGGGGAAATTTCCTCCACAGCAGAACTGGCTTCTCTTTTGGGGACAGCTGAAAGGATCCTGCTTTCCCAGGGGCAGGAGTTAAGCATTGTGAAACCACTGTGAAAACCGCTATTAGTGTTAACGATCAGTTCTGTAGGCTCACTTTCCTGTAAATGGCAAGCATGTGGGGGTAGGGAGGCAATCTGGCTTCCTAATTGGCAGCTGTCGCACTCTCCCTCAATTCGGAGGATGCCTTGAGCCAAAGGACTGTCAGTCAAACAGCCAGTGGCTCTGCCACTTTGAGCACGTCACAGATGCCTTGAGGAAACTACTCGGTGATGAGCCAAGTTCCGGACGTTACAGCTCCAGCCGGGAGTGTTTGAGTTTAGGCACGACTTTCTGCTACTACAAGCCCTGTAACTATTTATAACCAGCTCAGAGGGCAAGCATCTCACCCGGTTGGCAGCTCAGACCCTACAGTGGTGTGACTGGTGCACACACAAAACATCTGTGTGGAAGTTCCGCTGTGGTTGGTACGAATCCCCTTCCCTTGCTGGATAAGCAATGTTTTGCCCGTTGGTCAGCCAACGGCGAGGCACCGTGGTGTTTTTGCCTGCTCTGCTGTTGCTACATTAGGCCCAATAAAAGTCTTCTCTGCGTCAGTAGCAGTGATGTAGTTTAATCCCAGCAACAGGAAGGCAGAAGTAGGAAGACTTTATTTTGTAAGTTCAAGGCCTGCTGGGTCTGCCTGCATAACAAGTTTCTAGCCAGCTAGGGTTACATAGTGAGAACCTGTGTCCTCCCCACCTCCACCCCAAAAAGTCTCCTATATAGTTGTTTTAGTTAGGGTTTCTATTGCTGCAATGGAACAAGTCCAAAAGCAAGTCGGGATGAAAGGGTTTTTAATTTTTTTGGCTTATATTTCTGCACTGTAATCCATCCCTGAAGGAAGTCAGGGATGGAACTCAGACAGACAGGAACTTGGAGGCAGGAGCTGACGCAGAGGCCATTGAGGGCTGCTGCTTACTGGCTCATTCTCCATGTCTTGCTCAGCCTGCTTTCTTGTAGACCCCAGGACCACCAGCCCAGGGATGGCATAAGCCATCATGGGCTGGGCCCTTCCCCCATTAATCTTTAATTAAGAAAATACCTGCCCTACATACTGCTCTTGTAGAGTGGGCTGAGCTAGCTATGCAAAAAGCAAAGCAAAACAAAAACAAACAAACAAACAAAAAAGGCAGAGCCAGAGAAGCAGTGGTGGCAACAGTGGCAGTCACAGAGCCAGGGCAGAGGAGGAACCAACTGCTCTGATAACGCAGAGGAGGTGGAGGGCGCCAGACAGGCTGCACCGACAAGCAGCAGAACTGGAAACTGCAGAAACTGATGACCCAGACAGGCAGCAGGGAAGAAGGGAAGATATGCGTGTTAGGCCGAGTTGTCAAAGCAGAACCACAGCGGCAAATACAGCAGCAAAAGCAAAAGGAATGGTGATGCTCCAGAGAGAACAAAAGAGCCCAGGCAGCTGACTAAAACACTGCTGCAAGGGCCTGCGAAGATGGGTCAGTGATTAAGAGCCCTGGCTGCTCTTGCAGAGGATCTGAGTTCCATTCCCAAACGACTGGTGCCTCACGTTCCATGGGATCTGATGCCCTCTTCTGACATCTGTGAGTACCTGGCATACACTCAGGCAAAACGGTTTGCACACAAAATGATAAATCTGAAAAAAATAAATAAATAAAAGTTTTTAAAAACAGCCTTCAAAATGTTAAAGGGGCTGCAAGGAGGAAAGCCCAAAGATGCTAACAATTAGAAGATCTCATGTTTGGGCTCTGAAACTTTTTGCTGATAAAATAACCAAAAGCAAGGTCTTCATAAGTAACCCAAAGGCCATATTGGGTAGCTCATGCCTACAATCCCAGCACTTGGGAGGCAGAGGCGGGAGGATCAAGTTTGAAACCAACCAAGTGCCTGAAGACTTTCAGGCAAGCCAGGACTTGTCTCAAAACAAACAAAGCAACAACAAACTGCATGGAGTATTATTCTAAGAGCCCCAGTACACGAGAAGTTAGAGTTTGGAAGTAGAGGAGTAGTTTGGAGTTAGGTCTAGAATTACATACCTTTTGACCACAAGGTCTTGGTACCTTCATCTTCTGTCTTTGGCTCTCAGCTGACAGCTGCCCTTCTCACAGCCACAGATGTCACTGACAGCCAAGATCAGAGTGAGCTGACGAGACAGATGTGCTGTGCAAATCCTCAACTTGAAATTTTGAGGTTTTGCACATTATGAAACTGCATGGATTTTCACTTGTGTAGGAGTGCACATGCGTGAGTGTAGTCATGCCTGGGAGGGCAGGGTGTCAGTCTCTGGCATCACTTCTTAGGAGCTGCCCACCTTGGTCTTTGAGACAGGAACTCTCATGGGGACGTGGTGCTCACTGATTAGGGTAGGCTGGCTGGCCAGCAAGCCCCAGGGATCTTTTGTGTCTCTGCCCCTCTGGCACCAGGATGTGTCACCAAGCTAGCTTTTTTTTTTAATCGTGAGTTCTGGGCACTGAGTGCAGGCCCACGTGCTTGAATAGCAAGTGCTGATGAGCTTGAGGCAGAAGGCCTGTGAGTTCAAGATCCGTCTGGACCACAGTGAATTTCAGTCCAGCATAAACTGGGCTGTACAGCTCTGTCTCAAATGAGTCCATGAGGGAGAGTGAGAGGACAGGACAGGTACAGCAACCAAACCCCACTACTGTGGCTCTCCGTGAGCACTGGGCATCGAATCTGATGGCACATGGACACGGTAGACTAAAACAGCTTGGGTCTTTCTGACCCACATGTTAAGAACCATTAATAAACAGACTATACTGAATGGAGGAGAAGGCAGCAATGACAGCATAAAAAAAAAAAAAAGTTTATCTCTGGGTCAAGTGGGCAAGAATTTCAGTGAAGGTAGAGGCTGAGGGCAAACCGCAGGCCCGGCCGGTAGTGAAGGATCCAGACCTTTGTCCTGCTGCACAGCTGCTTTGTGCTTTGTGAGATGATGTCTGAGAAACTCTGCACACACCTTCCGCACAGCCTTCATGACGCTCTTACCGAGGAATTACTGTGACCTCCTTCAGGGATAAGGCTAAGGAAATGGCGAGAGCTTGCCCAGGTCGTACAGCTAGAAGAGGGACCATCGTCTGGTAGGTGCAGAGCCAGCATTGGGCTTTCTGTTTTTGTTTTTTCTCACGACTGCAGTAACTTCCATCACCCCTTGCTCAGACTGGGTCCCAATTTCTATCTATTTTGAATCAGTGGCTGATTCAAAGCCCACAGTACATCGTGATAGCACTTCAACCAGCCTTCTAACTGAATCCTTAGGATGTTCCACCTGCCTATCGGGCCAGCTGCCTTTTAGAGTAACAGTGTGGTAAGACTGGAGTTTCCACTGCCACACTTCTTAGGCAATCGGTCCCTAGATCAGAAACAAGATGGCGAAGGCACTGTGTGAGCCCACAGAGGGTAGTGTTGGCAGAAACGTGGGCACAGTGGACAACTCCATATCCACACCATGTGTGGGCTCCGTGTGTGGAAGAAAAACTGCTCCATAATCAGCATATACTGTGGCAGCTACCTGCTTCCCCATGGAAGGAGGCCAAACCGAGGCACCAAAGCTGGTGCCAGCTGATGATAAGTTAGGAATACAGCAAGCAGCTGGGCTCTGGAGAATAGCCACCGTGTGTGCCATGCAGTTTCCGTCCTCCCAGAGGAGACAATGTGGTATACAAGCCCTTGAGCAAATACTAGGGTAGCATCCGGGGCTCGTGAGGCATTATACAGACTCTCTGGCCCCACAGGCTTTAGCCTAGAATCTCTGGGCACTCTAGGACTCCATCACTATTGTGCCTGGAAAAGCAGGTTTGCGTGCCCATGAGATAGAGTCAGGCCGCCTTAACCCCTAGCTGCAGTGGTATTGCAGTTTCTGACTGCATGATTGGAGAAAACATCTTCCTATGTGCTCTTTTCCTGCAGAGTTCTAGAAGCTCTTCCCAGGTACTCCCCTTTCAAGACTTGTATTTGTACATCTGTAGCAGTCAGTGGCAGAGGTCTTGGCTTCAAGGCACTTTTCCTGTTAGCCCAGTGCAAAGTGCACAGATTCTCTTGGACGGTACTGCTCTAACAGTTTCAGTCTCTTTGCCTTACCCACAACTTTAAATGGTGCCGTCTTTCCCTTGCCAAATTCTTTGAATTTGTATGTCCCAGGAGATTTATTTTCTCATCTCACAGACTATGTTTGCAGTTCGTCCATTCTTTTCTTGAGATAGGGCCTCCTGTGTCACAGGCTAGCCTGACTTGCTAGAGAGCCAAGAATGATCTTGACCTCCCAGTTCTCTTGCCTATACCCCCAAGTTGCCCATTTAAAG